TGTTAATAATAGTAGGTCAGATTCTCTCTATGATATACAAGCAATTATAATTTGAATCTAATATTTTGAAATAGGGCAGCAAACTGGAAATCGTAAGCAGCAAGGCTGCTGCTTGCTGCCCTTAATTTCGAACCCTGTTAGTATATTGTTTCTGTAAATTGTGTTATAATTTATTGCTCTATAAGTTTGCAAACCATTATTGTATTCCCCACGACGAAGTCGGCGGGGATACTATGGTTTCATGTCTCCCCAGCCGCCACCGCCGCTCGGTCCGCCGCAGAGAATTTCCCTTCCGCTCTATAACTCGACCCCTAATTGACCTAGCGCTACCAAAATTGGTATACTTACACATCTTGGGGAGAAGGTGTGCATAGTACCAAAACCAGGTCACTGCTACCTTTACCTTGACCTTGATCATATTTCCCTTCCGCTCTCTAACTCGGCCCCTAATTGACCTAGCGCTACCAAACTTGGTATACTTAAGCCCGGCGCACACGTGGCGATTTTTATCGACAGTACCAACAAAATCGCCGGTTCTGTCGACAAAAATCGCCACGTGTGCGCCGGGCTTTACACATCTTGCGGAGAAGGTGAGCAGCGTACCAAAACCAGGTCACTGCGACCTTTATTTGACCTTTACTTTGCCCTTGATCATATTTCCCTTCCGCTCTATAACTCGGCCCCTAATTGACCTAGCGCGACCAAACTTCGTATACTTACACATCTTGGGGAGAAGGTGTGTCGCGTACCAAAACCAGGTCACTACGACCTTTATTTGACCTTTACCTTGACCTTTATGATATTTTCCTTCCGCTCTATAACTCGGCCCCTAATTGACCTAGCGCGACCAAACTTCGTATACTTACACATCTTGGGGAGAACACGGGGGATACATGTAGTTGGCGACAACGGCCCTTTCTAGTTTTAAATAGTTGTTTAAAAGCATTTTTGCCGATATATAAATATTGAAACTGTGGCGGTGTTATAGAATGATAATTGCAAGATTACAATACCATGCAGCGTATAGGAAATTAAAGGCAAGTGATAATTCAGAATCAACCCTTCATACTGGCAGCTGCTGTTGATGACATCTTGAAAACCGATTTTAGCCGTAAATCCAATAGGAAGGATGGATGATTGCAATTACTGGTGTGCTAGCGTGTGCCAAGGGGAATTGGGTTGTTGGTTACCATGGCAACAGTCATCACCAGAGCATCGTCAGAAAACCAGTGTCAACGAATTTTGCTAGGACGGTAGTATAATCAGGAGTGTATAATATCTAGCTATATATATATCTATATTATCTATATTATATCTACATTATACACTCCTGGTATAATCGTAGCTAATATCGATAAGAAAGGTTTGACTAATTTCAGTGACATAAGCTTAAAGTTAAAGCAAAACAAAATCATGACGATATGCTGTTGGTGGTGCCGGTGGTTACCTGCAGGGGTTGTAGATGGTGGTGGTGGTAGATGGAGGACAGAGGATATAATATATAACTAAATACCATCGATCAGTCGTTTTTCAGGGCTCAGCAATATACGCTGGGTTTTGCACTATATATACATCAATATTCGCACACGGGCATGTGATAAAACCATGTGAATATCAAGCCGAGCATTCATGCTTTATTGACTTGAGGCACGTTGCATGTTAGAGCTTCTTCTTATGGAAGATCTCAGGTACAGCGTTCCTGTGCAAGGTTTGCACTAAAGATCGAATGTGGCATATATATATATATATGTGTGTGTGTGTGTGCGTGCGTGCGTGCGTGCGTGCGTGCGTGCGTGCGTGCGTGCGTGCGTGCGTGTGGTAATATATGCTAATATAGTTGTCTATCGTTGTCGACGAATCGACGTTAATATGTCATATATAATATCAAGTGCCTTCGTAATTTACGCTCTTGATAATATGGAATGTGGCATATGCGCATTGAACTTATTCCCATCACTGGGCAGGACTAGTGACGTCTGTGTGGCCTGTGTCGTGTAGTGTGTGCGCATCTATATACACTATGTGATGGCAATCATGTAAACGCTGTAATAGCTCAAGCCATGTGCATTAGTGTTTCGGATATGCCGTATGAATACACTAAGTATATATGCGCATGTCTCGGTTAATTATGGTCACACTCGTTATATATTTTCGCTCCATCATCTACTCTCAACTCATCAATAAGGAGTTTGGTTGGAGTATCCGTAGACATATAGTAAGAAAGCCGCGCAGCACTCTGTGTATGCTTGTGCGTCAGGTGTGACATACCTTGTAATAAAGATATGAGAAGCACTGACTAGACTTCAAACATCCTCGTGGATGCCCATACAAGGACAACATATAAAGCTACGACCTATGGAGACAGTCCAGAGAAATACCTCATAAATACATAGTTACCATGTGAAAGTATAACCGTTGACCCTCTGACCTTCTACTCTGTTGATGTCACCACATGCGTTGAACCACAGGCACTTGGAACGTCTCAATAAAAAAAAATTAATGGTAAATAAACACGAAATGTACCAAAGTCTTAATGTTTCTCTACTCTATTTCGCCTATAATCACCTGTAAATGCCGGTCAAATGCTCATCTGCAACACAATTAAGTACACCGCACGCCCGCCCTGTGCTGCGTGCACAAACAACATGAATAAGAGAGAACTTCTCTCATTAATTGCCTCATTAAGGATGCCTCATTAATTGCCCTCTTAAAGCCATGTTATGACCATACCCGTGAAGTTTCATGCATTGCGTTTCCTCTTATCTTTTAATTTATCAAATTATATCACTTGAAATAAATGTGCAAGATCAACAAGACGAGGATGGATTGTGAAAGATGAATTCGTATGTTCGCCATGGAAAATACCACGTGACATGAATATATGCGAATCAAAATATACAAAATACTAAGTTGTTGTCCGTTATCTTATTGGCGGTTAAAGTGTAGGTTGAACTTTTCCTGTTAAGGTTATAACATATTCCTGATTGAAGCACCTGTTTGATTTATATTCAAGCTATAGTATCGTGGTGACTATAAGGCCACTATGAACTATTTCGTTGTTCAAATGGCGAAGATGTTAAATGATAAATAGCAGCTTCACAGAAACACGTCGTTCAGTGGACACAGTGAAGAACCGTGATTTGCTTTCATTACGTTATTGGAAGCTGCCTAGCCTTTGAAACGTCAATTTCTTTACGAGAAGAAAAGAGGCCAAGGCAATGTCCCTAAAAGGATTTTATTTCATCGCTTTACTTTTTTGCTTCTTGCAAGGTGACATATATATAGTTCTGTTAGTTCATGCGTAATCTTTGTTAAACCCGACTGAATGTCATCCGCGGTGCTCTCGTTGTAACTTGTATACTGTCTTGTTTTGTCTTGTCTTGTCTGATACTGTACTAATCGCCTGGTGTGGCTATATACACGTACAGGTACTGTACATATAGTGAGTTACAACTTACATCCTTCCTGGTTCCACGCAGCACTCTCGATCTGCTGCAGTTCCGTTACACCAACCTACGAAAAGGGAACCAGAACACTAACCTGCCAGTACACTAATCATATAGCTAATCATATAGCTAATCATATAGCTAATCATATAGCTAATCATATAGCTAATCATATAGCTAATCATATAGCTAATCATATAGCTAATCATATAGCATATATATAAGCTATCACTGACATTCGGTGTGGAGGTACGACAAGAAGAGCTGTATGAACTATACTCACTGCAGGAGATGTCTTTGCTGTAGGAAGCTGGAGCGCAGCCATTTGACTGCACGCACGCACATTCGCATCACCTGGCTCGTCTGAGCGTTCAGTTGCTTGAATGCATCGTGTGGCGTTTCACCTGCGACAGGAATGCTGCACCCTATGATCGATAGTAGCATATTAGCAGCTGTTTGCCGCGCCTAACTAAGCTATTCAGGGTGCACCGTGCGTGCCTTGCCCATATAAAATATAAACTTCTACGTGTAACGGTTGAATCTACCATCAAGAGATGTTTTGCATGTTTCAGTAATAGAATTATGCTATATGTATAAAATATTTATAATATGTATAAAATATTTATAATACGTATAAAATGTAAAATTCTACGTGTCACGAGTGAATCTACCATTAAGAGATGTTTTGCATGTTACAGTAATAGAAATACGATATATGATAATGTATGAAAGCTATTATGAATTAGTAGGTCTCAGGGGAGAGATATAGTGAATATAGAAATCAGTTGTGGATATAGAAATCAGTTAATCCTAACCCTAACCCTAACCCTAACCCTATCCCTAATTCTAAAATAAAACAAAATTAGCCAAAAATAATAAAAAATAAAATAAATAAGAGACAAAATTAGCAAATCAGAGCCGTCCCCTAGCGGATCACTATCTCTCCCCTGTGCAAAATTCATTATTAATTATGCTGTATTATACTACCATGTAGCTATAATAAATAAACCATTACCGTACCAATTGTTCGCCAAGTGAGTTTTACTTTAATAGCTACCGTCTAATGTACATATGCACACAGAGAATTGCAAGCTACGTGGTGTGTACCCAAATTTAGTAGTGATTGTATGCAATACATTACCAGTAATTACGTAACGAACATGTATGCATATATATGAAGCTCATACGAATTACCACATAGTTAGTATACACCAACAGTTATCATGCGTCTGTTCCTGGTCTCCCTTCCGTAATTTACCGAACATTGCCGCTTGTCATGTAGCAAAACTATAAACAATTCGAGTTGCCAATGAAATGCTGTAATAATGTGATATCAGGTATGGTCTTCCAACAATAGAACATCAATTCCAACCATAGAACATCAATCTACCAGTGTGCGCGTATGTAGTAATATTGAAATTCCCACCGATGATATCTGATTGCGTTGCAGAGAGATGCAAAAGCAACTGGGTGTTTACGTGTAATAGCAATCTACCAGTGTGCGCGTATGTAGTATATTGAAATTCACACCGATGATATCTGATTGCGTTGCAGAGAGATTCAAGAGCAACTGGGTGTTCACTGCCAGATGGAGTGGCACCAAAGGCGAGCGTTCCTGATGGTGAACTGTCTGGAGGTCTCGCAACGTGGCCCAAAGACAAAGGTGGAATCAATGGGACACGTGAACGCAGCTCTCCATCGTCCGTGGACTCGAGTAAGAGCGTATAAAAACTGAAACAAAAAACACACGACGAACGAATTCACGATTAAAATTAAATTTACATTAACAATCGAAGTACAGCGAATTTTGTTTCGTGTCCGCGTAACTAGAAACCTCTTCGGTGTGTGATGGCGTGTTTTATACCCATTAGCTTGCACTGATCGTTGATCGTTGAGATTTGATCGTAATTTGTTGCGATTGTGCAGTGAAAATGAAATTGTAGTGATTTGAACGATTAGCGACATTGTGTGGTGCAACTTATGCGGGTTATGCTTAGCACACTGACTGCTTTATTCTTGCTTTATTTCATTCAAATTCAGTAGTGCCACAGACAGATCAATAAACAACATACCCGCTACCAAAAATAGATTAACAACTAGTAGTGATATATATATATATATATATCAAGAGCTTATAATACCTATATTTAAGCTCTTGATATATATAAGGTTACATATGAGGTATTATAAGCTCTTGATATATATATATATATGTGTGTCTTTCATCACTATTTACATACAAGTCGATGCCTTGAAAATTCCCCGTTGACTTACGCACAGCTTTTACACGGGTTTGATGAACCGCAATTTGGTGGGTCACCTGTGTGTGCGGTAGACACTGTATCTGTGCACAGCGTAACTGCGGTAGTGCATGGCAGCAAGCAGCATGTGTTATGGTCGTGATGGCAGCAGGCAGGCAGGCAGTTTCACCGATCAATTTCCCTCCCTTCAACACGCCGCCTCACGCGACTAACACTGCAGTAGTAACAACACGAGCCTTGCACGCGCCGGTGGGGCTAAGCCAGGTGCGCTCGCTGAGCAAACTCCCGTATCTCATTAGCATCGTTGTAGCCGCAGCATCCTCCATAGGTACATATTCAACGGCAATGTAAATACACGCTAGTGGGAAAGGGGGGTATAGAGGAGGCGCGCGCTGGGGGTGGAGTTAATTACCAAGGGGTCACTTATTGACTATGTATGCGGCTAACTGTCTCTCTCTCTCTCTGTGTGTGTGTCCCTGCAGGTAAAGTGGTGGGTATGACGTACTGGGATATCCACCAGAAGCGACGAGCGCAGCAGGATGCCACAGAGACGCGTGGCCCGATGCGTGCAATGTCTCAGAGCTACGGCAATGCTAACAATAATACGGACAAAGGTGGGATGTGTCATCGTTAGTATAGTAGCCGCAGACACACGGAGTACGTGTGCATGCATTCACGCATGAATGCATATATGTTCGTACACTATTACTTATTAATTCATGTTTTATCTAAAATTGTTAGTGTATATCTATGAACTCATTATACTACTCAATATTAATCAAAATTGTTAATGCTAATCATTCGAAATGTTACGAGATGCCTATATCCAATCTTATATAGGTTAAAGGCCGGCGCATACCTAAACAGATTTTCCCAGAAATCGGTCCGATTAAAAAATCTCTTCATCGTTTGTAAAATCGGCTCAGCGTGGCGCCTTCGGATAAACACCCGCACACCTACGATAAAATTGATTATTTTGTTCTGCAAGAATGCATTTTGAATTTGCTCATTCAATGGGCTCTGTGTATCAAATCTACGCTCCTGACTCATGAACTCATCATGGTTCGTCCAGTAATCGATACCTTCCTTCGGTTATAAGTTGTTGCGTTAGAACAATTGACTCTGAGGCACCACAGAAATTACACTCTTCGCACAATTACGCATGGTTTGAAATTTGGCTGAAAATCTAGTGGAACAGCACAGGGACTCACAAACTTCTGACAGTTGTTGTCCTGCCACAAACATCTATGCTCCGTATTTACTAGCAGTGAGTACCAAAATAGTATATAAAAAACTAACATTTAATGCATTAACTGTGGGCTGTTTATTTGCTGTTATTGACTCAATAGGTCTTGTCCTCCCAGGGTAGCTACCGTATTACGCCTGGGTACGTCCGCGAATACCGAAAACACCCTGGTAACTATTGAATATGGTTAGGCGGTTAGGGTTAGGTTAGGGAGTAGCTTAGGCGACTCCCTACGACTTGTAGTGAGTAGGCGAGGTATGTCCGGCTATTAGATATACCAGGTCACGTCCGGCATACCCTGTAGGACAAGACGGCCCTCAGCGTAGTTGGCAATATAAACTGTACACATGGCGCATCCAAACCCTAATTTCTCTAGTACTAGACTAGCAAATACTTCGTGTCCATGCATGAATCCCAATACATTATGACAATAAACTTGCATTCCTCATTCACATGCGCGTTGTCTTATAAAAGGTATTTTGAAAATACCCAATGTTTTTCAAAATCCTCCGATGTTGTTGACAGTTTCCCCAAGCAACCATGCAGGTCGGTGCTGGCGGATACAGCGTACGGTGACAGCAAGAAAAACGTGACGTCACCAACCCACTCGAGGCTACATTGTTGCAACCAGTCGCGTTGCGCCCAGAATGCCAGTTTTCTCACCCCTTCTGTGGGCTTTAAGCAACGCGCCGTGAAATGAGCAACTGAGTTAATTTGTCATAAGGTCAAACGGTTTGTGATTAGCCTCTCACGAAGTTTGCTAGTCTAGTACTGGAGCAATTAGCGTGACTGCGCCAATTGTGCGCTTTAACCAGCATCAGTTAACTAGAGTTGTTCAACTAATCTATTCAAGCCTAGGAAGCGGGAGGCTCTGGAATAATTTACTTTCGTTTTTTCTCCTTCCAGTCCCTCGTTACCCCCCAAATGCATTGACTTAATGCTGCCGGCCACATCCAGAGCGCCTTAGCGCAGAGGCCTATGTCCCCCAGGTACTGCGGAACGTACCTGTACTATCCTAATATGCCGACCATCGCTCGCCTACTCACGAACAAGTCTAGGGAGA